AACAATGTTTCAAACTTACGAGGTCGTTTCCCGGCACGATATTCCGCTGTGGTAGGCATAATCGCAGGATCAAGAGGTAAAGGGGAATTAGCTTAGAAGATGAGTGCAAAACTACTACACGTGATTAGTAGGGAAATTGTTATAGGCTAGAATATTTTTCTCTGGCTCTGATAGTCGTTGGGCGCAAAGAATTGAAGTAGTAAGTAATGAAGAATTGTTGCAAGTGAATTGTCGGTGAGAAGGGTTTTCTTTTTTTTATTCCCTCTGCGAGCGATCCTCGCAAGCCTGCCGCCCCACCACGTCCGGTGAACCCTGGAGCTAACGTTGTAGTGTAACCCTGACCCTCTTCGCCCTACTGGCCCTACTGCTTACTAGGGAGGTCTTATTATTCACCGACCTATCAGGGAAATTAATGTAGCTGCGTCGCCCGGCGCGCGGCCCACGGTGCACACCCGGATTATACCCACTAAAACATACCGTCTCAATGACTGCCCTCGGACCCCGATACTACTTACGATCCGAATCATCTCTTCCGATGACCCTCAAATATGTTTATCCCCTTTTAGCTTTATTCTTCAACATTCAAGTACATGTTTCGTCTTATCTATCAATCAAGGTTCAATACCCCTCTTTTCAAACTCATTTTAACGGGTGCTTCCGTCTCACGTTATCTCACTGCATATATTTATGCATCAAGAATGCGGAGTAGTACCTAGGGAGCCTGCAGTAGGTAACACCCGAGCCTTACATACTGTCCGATCCTTTGATGGTGAAGTGGTCCTGGCAGCCTGGAGTTCGGGAAAAGTAAACGCGCGAGCACCGCCTGTCGTCCTTCACTTGCAACGTCGGGTAGATACTGCTGTGCGAAATTCCGAGAATTGACACATCATTGTAGACTGTCAAATGGGTGACATCAAATTCCACCTATTATATTATATATTTGGCTTTGGCCTTGTACTTGGCCGAATCTCGTCAATCAATTTCATAGGCGAAGCGACTTAGTAAGATACGTTATGCTTACTTTGCAGATCCTGGTTGAGGCCATCGTGGGGGTTTGCCAGTCTACGGTCTTGAAATCTTATGCCTAGTGACATGGGTAGATAGTCGCACCCCAATACCAATCACAGGGACTATATACTGCTAATTCGTAAGATTTTCACAATGGTACTTCGTACGAAATACCTTCCAGTTTACTCGGCTCTCATTGGTTTCTTATCCACCCTTTCTATATGTGGCACATACATAACCTACCTATCGTGTCGAAGCAAAAGCTGATCCGTAGCTTTGGCAGAATCGATAGATGTCCGAGTATACTCTCTCAAACCCCGGTAACCACGGCAGTGGTGACACGAGGGCTTCCTCTTTGAAATCTTCCTAGGTTTGTGCGCACGTAAATAGATAATCAATTGTCAACTAAATCAGTCCCTCCTATGATTGGGGCCTGGATTCTATACGGCATATTTCAGTACTCCTTAAATATTATCATGAAGGAATTTGAGAGCCTGTGCGAGGTGAACACACTCGAATAGTTAAACAGCTGATATCATAACATGTTTATAAGGGGGGTTTCTTTCATGTATTTGCACTGGGTTGTAGTTGATTCTAGGTATGGTTCATCTTAGCTATTTGTCAAGGCTATGACATAACCAAATACAAATGAGAAATCTTTGCTGCGGAATGAATCTCCTGAAAGGGTATTTGTCACGCGTAGAGAACTAAAGTTTCGATGCAGACTATCAATCTTCCATATGTACGTACCACAATGGCAGTCTACTAATAAGCTAAAACCGGTTCTAAGGGAGTAAATTCCTATACATTAGAGAGGGCTTATTGGGAAAGGGTTTCGTTATAATGATGTAGTTTCATGTTCACTCCAGGTCCACGGCAAGGTAGACTGTGGCTTGACCTTCCATGCCACTTTTATTTAGGTAATTCGATAGCTGTAATTTATATATCTAGTAATACGACATGATATCTGATATAAGTTCGAACAATTCGAAACGCAAACTCGCTAGCCAAGGTGAAACTTGATCTGCCTAAGAGTTAAAAGCTCGGCATCGTAAGTAGTCTTACTTCTAGCTATCTGACTATTAGTCCTTATAAATCAGGATACCTAGCAGCAGTAGTCACGGGCTTTATCGTGTTCTATCATTGTAATCTTAAATGAGCACCGAACATTGCCTACCTCTATATAAGTACTGGCTTACGCGCAGGATCGAGTGAGATCTTGGTACCATTGATATTTCGCAGGCTTTACGTGTGCTTTGTGTTTATCTGAACAGGGAAAGCCTTCTTAGCTATCAAGGGGTAGCATGGGTTCAAACATTATCCAAGACAATCATATTCTCCCCAATTTATTGTTACAACTTCTTCTCGATCACCGGTGACTTCGTATGGATGAGACTGTGCCCCTGGTGACGGATAATGATTGGATGGAGATGCCGGCATAAACTATTACATCCTGTGTGGTCTCAGTCGCAAGCTTGTACGATTTCCCTAGATCACAGAAAACACAAAGGGTAAGTGAAAGCTTGTTATATACCACAAAGTAAAACCCTCCGTCACCAGATTCCGAGTACGAGTAAGTCCTCGCTTGCCGTTATATCAGGGTTTGATCGTTTGATGTCCTGCTTATGAGCCATGTGTCGATTTCAAGGCGGCTTATCATTCGGGCATACGCTTTGTTATCAGCAAGGTGAGCCAACATTGAAAACTAGGGCAAATCCTATCAGAACCAAGCTTGAGACATCGTGAATAGATCACTGAAGAAACTATATATAAGGGCTCGAAGATTAGTAGCCACTATAGCCGCGCCCAAAGCGCCGGCATCATGCTCGGCGACTACCATTTTATGCACGAATACTCCTCTTCTGGAGCAGCACAGGTCAACTTCCCCTTTCGTGCGGCGATGTTGGTACTCAAGGCATCGCTCTCCTAGGTATGATGGATCTCGGGGGAAACTATGCTACTCTCTCCGCAGATGCCATGCTTTCGTATACCATGGGTTTTGTCGATATGTCCCACAACATAACTGAGCGTTGCCCTCTGGTAATGATATTAACTAACCTATCATGGTGGACAAGCTACACAGGAAGGTCAAATACTCCTGCTAGCACGAGTCCCCTCGTCCTAGCGCGATATAGCAGTAGCGCTAGAACACGACCGGACAGTTAGCCACACAATACGGTTCAGCAACCTAACGAATTACGACTGATACCAATATAGCGGCGATTCAGATACTTTCAATGGAGAGGTTGGTATCTTTGTAAAGAGTGAAAGAGAGCGAATTCCGGCACAGTGGATGGACTGCCAAAATTGGCTACTGGGTGAAGGCCTCTGATAGGCTAGCCACTTAGCTCATCTATATCTACAGAAGGTAGCCCCATTGCCCTTTGTTGGAAACCCTATTTTGGTATCCATAATAACTTTAGTTGATTCGTATTCTAATAATACAAGTATACCCCATGTTGGATAACACACACCTTTATGGGCTCCTGGCTCTAGATCTTGTGTTTCACGGCAAAAGATATGATGAAGTCGAAAATCCACGGAGTTACATAGCATGATCTCGTAGAAATGATAAACCAGATAATTATCTAAGTTCAGCTTGTGATTACTCGTTAATGTACTTTACTACGACTATCGAGTATGATAAATATAGCATTTTGCCGTCAAGTGTCAATAAAGAGAAAGGGAGCGAGATGAAAATGGATCTTTATATAACTATTAAAATGGCATTATATTAGTCGCATATCAAGAGTGAAAATCTGAGGAGAATACCTACGGACTACATTTTGTGTAGTCACATTCAGATCTGTTGTCACATATCTAATAATGCCTGGTCTTATATGGCTTCGCCTGGGGCTCTCTTACAATATTATATTATAAATAGACTATATAATGGTGCTTGGTCAATGTATCTCAGACACTGCAGTCGGATGTTCAAACCTAAATAATGTAGTATGGCTAAATGCAATGGGGGTTTTGCATGTTGTCATGATAATAGGGGGTATTAGTTATAGTGCCTTAAGCCAATGGATCCTAGAGCAATAATTGCCCCAAGAGGTCCGTTGCTTAAAGGAGGTCCTTTAAGCTGTTGAAGATTCTTTAGATCTTAGACATTTACACAATTCTACTTTGAGAACTAGAGTGGTCGCAGCAGCACCTAATGATCATTGCACATATTGTAACTGTAATACATGTGAAGTAGGCAAGTTAGGGTATGGACCGGCCAGGGGAAAATATACTTCATTATTATAATAGATATAGCTAGGGGTACGAAATAAGCGCCCTGCCGAGCATGTCAGGACTTGATGTAAAGAACTTAGAGACAAAGAAGGCGGTTGAGATTGACAACGGTGATCTTTATACTCACAAATCATGAACAGCTTCTTCCTTAACCTTTTGAAAGGATAATATGCTTTACATAAAGTGAACATGCAATGAATGCTTAGTATTACGCAGTCATGGTTCATATGTACCTATCCTGTACCATCATTGAGGACGCAGGCTGACCGAGATAGCAACCACAGACTCAAATCATGAACAGTACTGGGTCATTGTCCAGGTATGTTCCTACGTGTAGATATTGTTATATTCGTGACAGTACATGGTTATTGTACCTGTGTATCTAATCGTCAACCCCATGGGCAACGCGCCTGGACTCTACCGTTGGGGGGGGGGGGGGGGGGGGGGGGGGGCGGGGGGGGCGGGGGGGGGGGGGGGGGGGGGCGGGGGCGGGGGGGGGGGCGGGGGGGGGGGGGGGGGGGGGGGGGGGCCGC